CTCCTATTTCTAGTATGTTCCTGAAAGGAGCAGTCAAAGCTCTGAAGTTCTGTCCAGGAGGAATTTCATCATTATTCTTGTTGTGATCAGCCATGTTTTCAAAAATATTTTCCCTGAGATTCTTTCTTCTCCTGTGTAAAGTACGTTCTGGTTCAGGATCAAAGAGAAACTCAGGTATTTAAGTGGAGTGATGAGAATCTGTTTCAGACTCTTCACTCATAAATCATAAAACACAGATAATATGAATCAGCAGAATAAGTGACAAAAATTAAAAAATAAAAATGAAATATACAGAGTATGTGCTTAAAATAGTAATAAGGACAAAATTTAGTGTGTTTATCCCCAGCAACGGCGCCAAAAACTTGTTGGGTCAAAAGCTTGTTGGATGAAAAATATATTATGATGAAGAACGTTCTAGTTCAGTAAGAAAAAACACTTGTGTTCTCTCAACTTCAACCCAAATGCGCAAGTGCACGCATCAAGTAATAAAGGGATTATTGGTGCCCAAATTATCGTTCCCACGGGGATAGAATTCTAATTAATGCCTTAAACTATTTTAAAAAGAATGAAAATGAAAAAAAAAATTAGTAATTGACCTGTTTAGTCAAACGTTCCCTACTGTCTTGACAACGTTCCTCAAGAATAGTAGGTTCAATCTGACAGCAAATAGTTCATCGCTTCGTTATGTATGATAACCTTCTTGTTGAGAGAAGGAACAACAATATTCATGAGAGATTTATAGATACAAGATGAAATAAAGAAAAAAACTAACAATAGTAATAACAGTAATTAAGAGACAACAGTGTGGATGGTTTAAAACAGTTTTAACACAAGGAACGAATTCACTGTTCCATTCTTAAATAGTTATTTCTCTACTCAAGACTGAACACTTTTGTCTTTGTTCCAGTCTCTTCACTGCCAACTCTGATTCCTCAGCTCATGGACTAAATGGCTCACAAGTTTCCATATTCCTATGGCTCCCTTGACTCCAACATTTACTTAGCACAGGACCTTCAAATGAACGAGGTGGTCCCTTATTCTGAAGGCAACCAGCAGTGTTGTGTGTTGTTTTCACAACACTGCCTTCCCCCTCTAGTTAAGTTGTCTGAAATTCCTTCCTTATAGAAGTTCCTTTCTCAGTACGTATTCAATTTCCATTGATACACAATGAATATAGCTTACTTAACCAGAGAAATACAAAAGCCCAGTACAAAAGTTTTGAAAATAATTCTTTAAGAACTTTGCAGCTTTTCCGTTCCACAGATAGTTTAGCCCATGGCTACTACTTTAAACATAATTATTCTAAACTGAAATCCAATAGACCCGAGATTCAGTTCAGAGATAACGAGTGGAAAGAAGATAAATAACACTTATATTTAACTGAAAACAAATTAGGTTACAACAAAATAGAAAGTGGAGAATATGGTTGCTGCTCGTGAGGAGTCTCAAGTGGGTGATACAGAATAGAGAAGAAGTGTTGTCACTTAACTACAACTAAAACTATACAAAAGAAAAACTACAAAATAAACTAAGTGATCTCTTCTTAAGGAATTCGATGATGTTCTTCGTGCTGGGGCATCCTATTTATAGCAGAAGAGTGAATGGCAAAGCTTGTAATTTCCTTGGAGTTATTTTCTTGACTGCATGGACGGGGCGGTGAGAACAGTGTTCAGAGGGTTGAAACTTGCTTTGATGGGACACTTATTGTTGAGACTTGTCTTTCCTTCTGATCTTCCTCATGCCTTGCTTTCCTTTTAACCAATGAGAACCCTTTATTCCCTGCTGTACACGTTTCTTCATGCATGATTGTTGCATTGCATATGCTTTATAGAACCTTCTTTTCAACGTTTCTTGCAAAGTGGTCAGAGAGATTGAATGAGTGGAGCAGGTGTATTTAATGTTCCCAATCTGTTCCCCTTTTATATATTTTCCAAGGGATTACGTCACCATTCGTTCCCCACTGTGTTTTTGTCATAAAGATATTAAACATGTGCTTTTAGTGCTAAAGTTGCTCATCAGATGAGGGAACAGATGATATTTTGCCATCAAAATGAGCTTAGATGATAACGAATTTTCGTCCCATCATTAACCCCCTTAGATTACCAAAAAAAATAAAAATAAAATAAAAACTTATTTATCCTATTTCATTTTATTTCATTTTTCAAAATAGAGACCTGTAATAAATTTTCAAGGATAAAATAAATAATTTTCAAAAGAAAATAACATAAAATGAAAAATTCTATTGCATAATTAAACCTTAAAATTGACATGATAAAGAAAAAATGAAAATAATAATAACGGAAAGAAATGTAAAGTGAATTTCTTAACACATAACTAAGCATTGAAGTGGACATTTCTATCGTCAATAAAACCATCAATGTTCTCATCAATCTTCTGGAAGAAATATGAAACATTCAGGTGTGTGTCCATGTCCAATTTTGGATTATTTCTATCTACAAAATTTGTTTCCACACCTTTTCCCTTTTCCTTCAATGATGCTTTGTAAAGATCAACTAAGTATTTAGGCGTACGATAGATACGTGACCAATGGTTGGTCATGCCACATCTATAACAAGTATAGTTTCAGATTTCTTTGAGAATTGTTCTGTCAAATTTTTTACATTTGCATATTTTTGTTCGTTACATGATTTGGCTTTATAGTCATGACCACCACGATGCCAAACATTATTATGCCCATGCTCGCGTCCACGCCCAAGAAACGTAGTGGCTATGCCCACAACTGTGTCCACGGTTATGAGATGATGTCGCTTTCATTTATGGGAATATCATTATTGCATTCACTTCAGGGAATGCCATAGAACATGTGGCCATGATCAATGGTTTGTCATCAAAAGCTCATTGTTTTGTTCAGCAACAAGAAGACAAGATATTATCTGATAAAATTTTGTGAAACCATGCTCTTGAGTCTTGATATTGCTGCTGCAGGAGCATATATATATTCGAGGCATGAAAAGTAGAAAATGTCTTCTCTAACATATCCTCATCAGTAATCTTTTATTTGCATAATTTTAATTCAGAAGTGATGTGAAACATTGCTGAATTATACTCACTTACACTTTTAAAATTTTGTAATCGTAAGTGAATCCATTCATATTGGGCTTTTGGCAAAATTACTTGTTTTTTTATTGTTATACCTTTCCTTTAGATTTTGTCACAATTCTAATGGATCTTTTGCTGTTAAGTATTTAACTTTAAGATCTTCATGGAAAAGATGGTGGAGAAAAAATCATTGATTTAATTCGCACACTCCTACTGGGAGGCCTCATTTTCCTTCCTTGATTGTTTCTCCAAGGTTGTTTCCAGTAAGATGGATTTCATCATCAAGAGTCCATGGAAGATAGTTCTTGATCGATATATCCAGAGCAATGAATTCAAGTTTGGTAAGGCTTGCCATTATGAATTCTATCAAGTAGAGATGTAGCCTTGATGATCAGTTGGTTGTGGAGACAAGCTTGTGCTGATAACTTATGAAACAATTCTTGTTCTATTTCTTTTCATAGAGTACATGCCTTTGTATAGGACTCCAAGAATGAATATGGAGAGTAATTACACATAAATGCACCATTATGCTTATAAGGTTAATATTCATACCAAAGGTCATGGCAAACAAAAAGTCACATTTAGAAATCTAAATACTTATCCACACGTGAAAATCATGTTTTACAACAAATGTGACTTGACTTTATGATTAGTGTTACAACTTTCTATGAATAAATGGATTCGATATCCACCAATAACCTCTATCGTAATTAAAATTCCAGTGATACCAAACGCGTGAAATAAGATGATTTCACCCGAATAGGTGAAGCTGCCAATAAATAAATGAGAGTTGAAACAAATACTCTCAAGTATCAATAACAACATCCCAAGAAAGAAAATTACCTAAATGGTCAAAATGGTTGAGTTACATATCCTTAAATTTTAGGGTTTAGGCAGGCACAGTTGACAGTGAACTGTGCCCCAAGGATTGGGTCATTATTCAATCCTGGGTAGATGAGGTGACACCCTTGAAAATGGATCTTCTCATGTGTAATTTAACATGATTATGTCATGTGGGAGGATTTTAACCATTAATAATTAAAACAACGGTGATGATTGTGTAATTTTCTATTCTTATATTTTTTCTCTCTCCTCCCTTATCACCGTTAATTCACCCGTGTATGGTTATGATTGCCACATGCATGGTCATGTTAATTAGCACACGAGAGAATCCACTCTCACTCTAAGTCTAGCCTCGACTAGGAGATTAGTCATATTCCCTTTTCGGTGACAAGTGTCCAATGCACCCGCTGCACCAACGAGCAACTAGCTCCAATGGTTGTACTCCTAGTGCAAGGTCGCTGAAGGGAGTTGAATAGAGATTCCTCTATGTTAATACTAAAAAAAAATTAATTTAATCCAATGATCGACTGCAATACATATATACCCGAGCAGACAACAGCGAAAAAAGTCCAGGAAACTAAAAGAAAACCATAATCGCTTACTTTTTTGGAGGGGTGCCAGACTGCCAGTACACACGAATAAGAAAATAACTTGCACAGGTTATGTAAAAATATATTATACGTTTTCAATTCCCTTAACAATCTATGTTTCTTGTTCAGAAAAAGGAGCTCACAAGTTCACAGTTAAAAAAGTAGATAGTTCTTGTATCAAAAAAAAAAATGCAAATAGTTGATAGTGTGTGAACAAAAGGAAAAGAGAGAGCAAATATATAGTGATGTTAGAAAGCCTGAGTTTTGTCCCCAAGAATTAGCTATTAAACTACCAGAAAGATTGATAAAATCAAGATGCAAGGTTAATGGTGACTATCCAAAGTTTTTTAATGAAACGATATTTGGGAACCCTCTAACTGGCAAATTCAAATAAAGCAATAGCTAATCATGTTTATCAGAATAGTATAACAATATCTCTATTTATAAAAGCAAATAATTTACAGTTTTCGTTATACAATTAGATTATGATGCTTATATCTTCTTTCTTATACTGCAGCAACTGTGCTTCTTCTAACAGGGTATTGTATGGTAGCTTCATCTATTCGCTATTTATATGGACATGGAGCAATGATACCGTACTGTGCGAAGTCAGAGACTGAAGACAAAACCTTCTTCCCTTTGACCCAATACGGTATCACTGATTCAATCTCAAAATGAATATTGGAGGTGGAATATAACTTCACGCTGTAATCCCACATCTCTTAATGAACTTATCGGAGAAATTTACATATCTATTCCATAAACTTCGAACCTCTGGTAAACCAATATCAAGCCATGGCTTTGCAGGGCCACTGAAATGAACTACGACAGCAGCTTCCAGTTTCTGTATGCTAATTTCTTCAGATCGATGGCGATAACCTAAATCAGTCACAAGCCATGATGAATCTATAGGTTGCACTTGACCCTCAAAAGCAATCAAGGCAGGTGGAAGCACTCCAGGATTAAAGAATGCAAACCCAGACTTGACGTTCTGTATGAAATCATATATATATACAGTTAATAGCATCATCACAAAACAGAAGGAAATTTATAGTACCATTCATGATGAAGAAATAAACATATTGTTTCAATATGATGAAGTACATCAACATATACTTACAAGTTTCAACCATTGATGGTAGGTCTCAGTAATATTTGATCTCCTCCAAGCTTCAAGATCAAATATATTCATGCCATAGACCCATGAACACTGATCACCGTCAAATTTGGATGATATAAAAGGATTTGAAAAGTTGAAAAAGTTGACGTATTTACTTCCAGGGCAGCAGCTGTCCTCACACCATGACTTGAATACCGAACCACTGACTTTGCCATTAAGATCTAGTTGCCACAAAGAAGATATGTCATGCTGTACTACAACATCATCATCCAGCAATACAACCTTGTTGAGATCTGGAAACAGCTGTGGTGGTCCAAAAAAATCAGATTATGAAACAATCATGAATCATCACTAAGCATTAGTCTTGTTATTACAAAATTGGAGGGCTACCTCAGGGATATAGATGCGGAGATGATTCAACAGGGAAAGGCTGCTGGGACTTAAAGATTCCAAACATCTATTATGCTCTTCACTATAGTCGAGGTCCTCTTCTTTATAGTTGTTGTAGTAGTGCTTCCAAATTAAATGATTAGTTTCCAGCATCTCCTTAACACCAGCATTCCTTTCTTCAGACCAGTCATAGTGGTGTAATCCCCTAACTTCAACTACTGCTGATTTAATAGAATTGATGGCAAACCAAGCATGCATTGGAGTATAAGTTTTCTTGTCGGTAACTATGTGAAAAACTAATCTTTCAGGGTTATCTGAATTTTCAATAGTAGAGGTTACAACAACAGAGGCAGCTAGGACGTTGTCAGTTAGGAGAACAAGGTGGTGAAAGGTAGGGTCAACAAGGTGAGAAACATATTCAGGAGGAGGTAGGCGAGATCGGGCCATGGCATTTACAGCGTATTCTTCAGCCAACTTCAGACAAAGACAATTCAGACTTTTGGGAACACCATGTGAAGCTAGATGCCAAAAAACTGACTCCTGCTTTCTAGCTGATTGCACCTCCCGTTCCATCCGCGACAGCTGCATATATATGAACATTAAGATGACATGACTACGACTTCACTAACTCAGCTTAAGTTATCATCAAACAATTCAATGAAGAAACACCTCACGGAGAGAGAGACTTTGAATAACTCTCCTCGTAATGCTTATTTTGTGGATTAAATTAAAATATGCATAAATTAAAAAGAAGATTTTAGTACCTTTGTGTAGTATATACAAACTCAAATTCTTAATTTTACAACATTGTTTCTCACTTGAGTTAAAGGGGGCAAGAATATTTTGATCCAAGTATGTAAACAACTTAACTAACTCACTCTCGAATTTCTAGCTTGAAGTTCAGAACCACTAGTTGATTGCACAATAGGATGTGGTAGGAAGTAAACCTATTGTATTAAAATAAACAAATAATATTCAAATAATTCTAATTATTAATTAAGGTTAATTTACAATTGTTTTTTATGTTCTTATCACTAGTTATGTGGCACTTCACAATTTTTTTCAGAAACTGGTTTATTAAAGAAAAATTGTTTGTAATGTTAGAAACTCTTACAAAGCTTGAGGAACAAGATGATATAAAGGATAGAATAGATAAATTTATCAAATTTTTAACGGTGTTAGTAAGATCTTGAATGAAAAAAATCATAAGGGAGTAAGTGATTAAAAAAAAAAACATAGGGAACTAAGTGATTCAAAGGGAAACCATAAGGTTTTTTTTTTTTTTTTGAATTTTTCCCTTTTATTTATATAGTTTTTACAATTTTAAATTTTTTATTTCTAATGTATTTATTAGAATAGTACCGTCTCCTTTCCCCAAATATAAGTCCTAATAGAGGTCAAATAGATTTTGTTACAACTTACAAATACTTGTTATGAACACTCTTCTCAACGGCTCAAGCTCCCCGTCTATAATTGAAGGAAGAATTTCAATATAATAAATAGGATTTTATAAGAGTTATGTTGTAGGAAAAGTGATTGTGTTATGTTATAGAGATTCGTTTTGCATGCCAAAGTTTTTTTTTTTTTTGCTGTGGGCCTCACAAAATATTGTGTGTGTAGGAAATTTGTTGTGGTCATGTTAAATGATTGATGATAAATCCTAATAAATAATAAGTAACAACAAAGGTTAGTACGACACAAATAGGAAATCAACATAATATTTCAACCACTGGATTATGTGTTTGCTTCAAGTTTTACACACCTTATCATTAATTTTTCTTAAAATAAAGTAGATATAAAAAATTAGATATACTTAAGCACTACAGCAAATATATCGAAAATTTCCAGAAACCAATCATATTAATCTTCTGTTTGCTTATTTTTGGTTCCAACTCCTGCCAAATTTGCAAATAACTTTTTTGTCGATAAATTATGATATATATTAAAAAGAAGATTATAATGACAAACTTTTTTTTTACAAATTACGTTATGTCTTACTGACTTCAATCAACAGTATTTTACCAGTAAAACATAATATAATTTACGAGAGTTTGTAAACAAAAAAATTTATAAATATAACATTTCTCGTATATTAAAATCACTGTAATTAATTGAATTTGAATGATTCCAAATAATGCAACCAACTTCTTGAAAAATGTCAGATTTTCGTTTTGCAAACCAAGGTTTAAGGTTCAATGCTAAAAGCTCATATCTAATGTCAGGCTAGATTGTCACCTAACACCAGAAGCAAACAGAAAAAAAATTTACAAAGGAAACAACTTAATTAAACATCATTATCATTATTATAAGAGTAATTTGCTAAAGCGAACAGGTTAATGAGAGTGAAATTTGTAGGTACCATGGCTTTGGTCTTGAAAGCAAATGCCTTAAGGTCTTGTTTTGACGTCAACACTTTCACAAGCTCGTTGAATGACTCTGCTCCTCGTTCATTAAAATTACCATCATTTGCCTCTATTAGCGCTCTGGTAAGCTCATCTTTGAGTTTCTTTATTCATATAAATATACATGCCGAACCACCGGAAAAAATAGAATGAATGTCACGGGAACATAAAGCATAAAAAAATTACATTTTTTCAACCATTTATTACTTCTACACACATCATTTGCCTCTATTAGCACTCCGGTCAGTTCGTCTTTGAGTTTCTACTTACACACACTACGGCCAACATTTAAATTAGTTTTACTTTTAATTTTTTTAAATGACATTTATCTTAATTTACCTATTTTTATTACTTGGATTGTGCATCATTGATTTTTTAATTCTATTGTTAAACTTCTCATAATTATAGGAAATGCTATCAATATATAACAATAATCAACATTGAAGCGGCTCAAAGCTCAAAATGAAATATATATATATATATATATATATATATATATATAGGGATAGGATCAACTTACACCGGTGTAAGAATAATAAATCTTACACCAAATCTTAACCGTTGATTTCCGTGCATCCAATGGTTGAGATTTATTGGGAATTAAAAATTAATTAATGAGTGAGACCTAATAAATCTTAACCGTTAGATGTAGAAAATCAATGATTAAGATTTGGTGTAAGATTTATTATTCTTACACCGGTGTAAGATGATCTTGCCCCATATATATATATATATATATATATATAATAGTGATTACTTAAAAAAATGCAAAAAATAAAAATAAATTTGCAGATCTCAAGATAAAATGCACATGAGATGATTGTGTGATTTACAGTTTTGCAAGGCCTTAATCGCCTCCTCGGGGAACTGAAAGCCTGAAACTTATAAAATTATTTTAGATTTTTTTTTTATTTTTATAAGAAAGAATAAGGACTACAAAAAAATAAGTTTTTACAAAAAGTAAATATAATTTAAACGTTAACTATTTTTTGATTCCGGAATAAATTATCAAAAGTATGTATTCGATCCAACATTATTCAGTTTATCTTAAAATATATTGATGATAATATAATGTATCAAAAAATTATTTATATGAATACTCATAAGCTGTTATTCTTATTCAAATAAGACATAAAAATGAAATCAAAAGAAATTAAAAAAAAATTGTAAAATGAGTGTAGGATATATTTTTATTTCATATTTATTTATTAAGAAAAGGGATTTAAAATAAGAGCATTACTGACGGCAGAAAAATAATGTTTGTCCCAGAGATACAAAAAAGGGCCTCACTAATTTTATTTTATTTTTTAAAAAAATTTACCAAGATCTGATGCTGTATTTGTTCTCTCTCTCATTTTTGTGTACGTGGCAAACAAATTATTTTTGTCACAACTACAAAATTATTTTTGCTTTGTCTTAAAATAAATATTTATTGTCACAAAAAAAAGTATTTATAATGAAAAAAAATGAATATTATGTTATGAAAGATAATTATTTGGTTGAAGAAATTGAAAAACATAAATCTTAACCAAATAACAACTATTTTTTTTATACCGATCCGAATTATCTCTAAGGCAGGTCGATCCTCGAGTATTCCCACAAGTTTCAATTTTAACTGTAATTAAGTTTCGATTCGAGATTAATCTTATAACCTACTTAAAGAATTGAAGCTTATAAAAATATCGTGAGTCAACTTGCCAAAAAAAATAATTAGGGTGGTAAAAAAAAATCACCCGATCCCACAATTATCATACTTTTTGTGGACACTGTTTTACTATAATAAAAAAAATTGGAAGAGTTTTTAAACATCGACACGTAACATATGAGAGAAAAATAAAATCAAGCATCTATATCACTGCCAATAATAACCATTATTATAATAATAAAATAAAAATGCCTCGTTTGTTTCAATCAGATCGTCTAGCCACTATATTCACGTTTAAAATCTATTACAAAGTTTTGGCAATTTCGAATTTGTATCTAAAAATATATCAAATACTCTACAAACAATCAACCTATATTTTTCATTTAGAAACCCTAAAAGTTCAGACAAAAGTTATAAGTTATAAATTTTATTTAAACCATAATTTTTAATTTTTCAAATGAGAAACTAAATACAGATTAAAAAATTATCTTTCAAGGAAAAAAAAATATAATTTCTTATGCACACAAAAAAGTAACGTCTAGTAAATATTTCAAACGGCTCAATTACCAAAAAAAAAAATTGTATAAGATGCATAATCACAAGTGAAGGAAATAAAAAAAATGAAAAATGGAAGAGAAGAATAAATGAAGAGGGAATCTGATTTGGAACTTGAAACACTTACCAGGCTCATGTCACCCCCGCTGAAAAACCTCGATCCCACGCAACCTGCAGCAATCATTTTCATGGATACTGTCATCAACTTTTCATCAACGACGGTGACCTTTTCGACAAATCAGTTAATATTGTTTAACATTTTTTTATTAAGTATATATAATTATTTAAAAATAATTCTAAACGTTTTAAAATTTATAACATATTTTACGCTTATTACTTTGCTTTTATTTCTTTACGACACTTAGGGGATGTTTGGTTGATGAAAATTTTTTGGAATAGTAAAAAAATGTAATAGATAGAGAAATGATTGGAAAGATAGATAAAGTGAGATAGGTAAAAAAATATAAAAAAAGTTGTTTGGTGGGGAAAAACTTTACTGAGAAAATTAGGTAACTTTATGAAATCAACAGTGCATTAAAAGTCAGATAATCGGTTTTCTGAAAAATCTCACCTTCAAATTGAGTTTCTAAACAGTGCGGATATCTATATTTCTCATAAATCCATACAAATTGGATAAATGAGTTTTTGGTAAAAATACGTTGAAACAAACATGGTGTTTCTAAAAGCTATACTTGATAAACATATATATCCGCTGAAAAGCTCCCAACCAAACATCACCTTAATAAAAATGTCCTTTTTAAATCACATACAGAATTCTCTCCTTTTTTTTTTTAAATGAAACAACCACATCTCCGTATGAAAAAGAAAATATTTAAAAAATAAGGGGATAATTTTTTTTAATATTAGTGTTAAACTTTAAAATTTAATACTAAATATTAACTGTTGATTTTCGTAATCAACGATTATTATTTGTTGAGAATTAATAATTAATTAACGAAAATCAACTATTAAGATTTGATTCAAATTTCAATGTTTAACTTCCAAAATAAGTAAAAAATTTCTTGTCACTGTGGGGGCTCAAGAAGAATACAAATTCAGCCAAAAAGTTTTTTTTTTCCATAAATTAAGTTTTTTTTTAAAAAACGCGTTGCTCTATGATTTCGTCTTTACACGTTTTGCACTTTTAGTTGTATACTTGAAATTCATACGTAACTTCACTCTCCAATGAAACAAAATTCAACTAAAAAGATATTTATTCACTGAAGTGTAAACCCCACACAGCTAACAATACACCATTAACTAATTTTTTAAAGTAGAGTAAATAATAAATATAAATCTAAAATGAAAATTACGAAGAGAAAGCGGAAACGAATCGAAAAAATTACCCAAGGAGGTGCAAACCGCGGAAGATTCCAGCACCAAAACCGCCACCTTCATAAAGGCGAGCAGCAACACCACCCCGAGCATCAGAACAGTCCGGTTGGAAATCCGGCGATCGACGGCGGAGGCGGCGGAGGAGGCATCGTCCGCAACAGCATCGGTCTTGGCGGATACTTTTCCGGTGACACCGGTTTCTTTGGACAGGGTGACGAGCCTCTTTTTTCCCTTGGCAGATACATAGAACTTCATCTTCTGAATTCCATTTGCTTCTTTCTTTCCTTCCTACGATGGAATCAGTAGCAGATCTGAAGCTTCACAACTGGCTCAGTCACAGTCATAGAGAGTAAGAGCGTGTGTATGCCTGCGTGTGTTGCATTTATAGAGCAATGAGTTCACGGATTTCGAATTTTTGTTTTCAGTGTGGAATCGATTTGCTCGAGGAACATGAAAACGATAAATTGAATAGAATTTAAGTGAACGTTTTTATGGGGGAAAAGAAAGTTGTTGCAGAGAGAGAAAATGAATGGGAAAATGCGAAAAACAAAGCCGCGGGAAATGGTTAGATTGCAACAATGGCGACGGTAATTATATATATGCGTTGGGCTTGGGGAGTTTTGCGCTATTGCTTTTCGCCACTGGTTTTTATCGTTATTTACTCTTTTACCACTCTTTCACCGACACCTCCATAACGTGGCTGGCAGTTCCTAATCCTATGGATGGTATTCATTTAAAAAGAAAAACAATTATTTTTAAGGTTTTTCTCTATTAACTTTCGGTAATTTAGGAACAGTTTTATATTCATCATTTTAAATGACATAAAAGAACAGACACAAAGAATAAAAATTATGAAGAAAAAGTGGATAGATTTTTTTAATTTAAATCTTTTAAAATATATTATTTTATATTTATCTCTTTTTTAAAATTAAATAAGTTTATGTTATTTAAAATGATAAATATTATTCTTATTTAAGAATTATTATAGTGTTCTTTTTATTCGAAATGCAATGAAAGACTAATAAGAGAGAAGTATCACTTCAGCAATTTTTTATTTTATTTTATTTCAAAATGAATGATGAGGTCGACGGTCACCAACATCTGCAAGTATTAGATCTTCAAAAGTTTCCAATTTGAATTTGTATTCGTATTTATGATTCTGTATTTTACGAGGAAGACTAGGATGGAAATATGAGAATGAATTTGGGGCGTTTGATAGAGAAGAAATTTTTTTTATTTAAGAATCATGACTTCTGAGAATATAGTGGTAAAGTAAGTTTTTCATAAATATTACCAAAAAGTTGTTTAGTAGAACAAAATATTAGCGGCAATGTTGAGTTAAGTTTTCTGTGTCTATATTTGATTGATGGTAAAATATGTGATGAATTTACAAAATTAACCTCCACAATATGAACTTTTCAAACACGGATTAAAAATAAAAAATCAAAAATCAAAAGCGAGTTTTGTAAATAATAATTTATATTGAACTGGGAACAGATGAAAATGTGACAATATGGTCAGATAATTATGTGAAATAACAGCTTGGAGACTCTATTTTTACTCTGAAAAAGGGGCAAAAGAAGAACATTGAACCATGTGGAAAGATTTATGTTTAGCTTTTGAAGAAGCATTGTGTCAATCTTTGCAAACACCAAAGAAACCCAAAAACTCAGTCTACGAGTGGCACAAAAAGAGAAAAAGAAAGAAACTTGAACCACAGAGCGTTTCAGCTGGGACGAACAAATCGATGCACAAAGCAAAGCTAGGAACGGTATTTTAGTCTGAATAATTTTCGAAAATTTTCCCTATGTGTGAGATTTGTTGAATACCACATATTCAGTGGGATAATTCGTTAGGATTTTGTTTCATTTTTTTTCACATTTAAAAATCCTGGAAAACCAAGATTTTTAGGAAAAATTTTCCACTTCTTTCTACTAAACGTGAAAATACAAGAATGCCAATGTAACTTTTCTAGAAATCTAAACTTTTTCTTTATACCAAACACCCCCTTAGATTATTATTATTTTAATTTTCCAATTGATTTATCGGATTACATTATCTTCAAGTATTTATTGATCTTATTAAAGGAGTAGTTCTTCTAAATCTTTTTTTTTTTCGTTCTGAGAGTTCAACTCAAGATATCTTATTAAGAAATCCAAACTCCTTACCTTTAGGGGGTGTTTGGTTCAAGTTTTTGGAGAGGATTACCGGTAATCCTTCTTTGGTAAATGTAATTACCACGTTTGGTAGAAGGAATAAATTACGATTCCCGGATATCCAAGGATTACCGGTAATTTGATTTATAAAGAAAAGTCACTATTCAGATTACCAAAAATAATATGGTAATTCGAAATACCAATCAGAATACCAAGTAAAGGGAAAGCACAACAATAAATTTTGAGACAAAAATACCCCAATACACATAAAAATCTAGACCCAATCTATCAATTACAAAAGTAAAAATAGTTTGGGGTTATTTTTGTAAAATAACTTCATATTCCAAGTCATATTTCGTTCTAAACCAAATATGGAATCAGTAATTTTTACCCAGTATTCCCGGTAATATTTTGGCGAACCAAACACATCTTTCGTAAGATTCCAAGTAAACTCAATTTCTACTGAATTCCCATTAATCATGATTCCCGGTCACCAAAAAATTTCTCCTGTACCAAACACATCCTTAAGCTTTTTAAGTTTTTTCTCTATTACCTTTCAGTAATTTAAGAATAATATTATTATAGTATTTTTTTAAGACTTTAATATATTTTTTTATTTGAAATGCAATCAAAGACTAATAAGAGAGAGAAGTATTCAAGTATCACTTCAGCAATTTTTTATTTTATTTTATTTCAAAGTGAATGATGAGGTGACGGTCATTAGAGGTGGCAATTTAGGTTGAACTCGACAGGTCAATACATCAAAACAAGACGGATGAGGTTATACTTTTCAACCCACCAACCTATTTCAACTCGCTCCACTTAGTTGCGGGTCAAAACGAGTTGGCGGTGGGTCGGGGAGAGTTGGCCCGCGGGTTAGTTTTTTTTTGCTAATTGGTAGTATTTTATTTGTCATCAAGCTTGTGTGATATGAAATTTTTTTCTCTTAGTACTCCTCTAAAAAATAAAGACGAAAAACTTTATTTATTACAAAGGTTATCCATATATTGAGGCAAAAATAAGTTCTTAAAAAATATTTGACTGAATATTAGTATATATTTAGATTTGAGATTGGAAAAAAAGAAAAGGGATTGTAAAATAAAAAAAATATTATAAAATTAATAAAATATGATTTATTTTTAATTTTAAATTATTTTTTATTTTTTAGACCGGCCAACCCACCACAAATTGGAATGGGTTGGGATTTTCAATCCATATCAAAATGCGGGACAGGGTGGGCCAACCCGTTTTTGACGGATTGGCGTCGGGGCGGGGCAGGCCGACCCGTTTTGCCACCTCTAGCATTCACCAACATCTGCAAGTGTTAGATCTTCAAAAGTTTCCATTTAAATTTGTATTCCTATTTATGATTCCGAATTTTATGAGGGAGACTTGGATGTCTGTCAGTTAGATTATTATTATTTTTCTTAGTTTTCCATTTGATTTATTGGATTATATCAGGTTCGAGCATTTATCGGACTTTATTAAAGAAGTAGTTCTCCTAAATTCTTTTTTTCATTCTGAGGGCCCAACTCAAGATATCTGATTAAGAGATCCAAATTCTTTATCATATATACCAAGGGGATTTGGTTTCTCTCGATTAAATTTAATTAATGTCTTTAAGTATTTGGTACTAGGGTTGGCAAAATGGGCCAACCCGGCTCGACCCGCATGCAACCAAAAACAATGAGCCAGGTTAGGGTTGGCTCGAAAAAAAAAAATTTGAAAACTCAACCCAACCCGATCCGAGTCGGGTTAGGGTTGGCTCAAAAATATGGCTCGTGGGTTGGCTTGAAAAAATAGCTCGCGAGTTGGCTCACAGGTTGGCTCGAAAATTGTTAGCGTGTTGGCTCGTTTTCAACCTATTTAAATGAATATGTAGTATTAATGCACTAACTATGTTGCTTCCATAAAGGGTTACAAAATGAGAAATAAAAGCAAAATATTCTAGTTTCGAATTTTCTTCGTAACAAATTTGCATCAACATCAAGAAACAATCAAAACCACTTGTTACTAAGTGGATAAGATATTTGAACCAAACAGAGCCAGAACAACCTAACAATATATAAATGGCAGGGATGTGAGAAGATTAGGGACTTAGGTTTAAAGAAAAAAGAAAAGCGATGACATGTGTGGTTTTTAATCCATTTTTATATATTATATTTTGTATTTTTTTATTAAAAAAAACTCAACCCGCTAGCTGGCCCGTTTGACCCGCGGGTTGACTCGTTTTTTTCCGAGCTGACTCGAGTCGGGTTGGCACTTGGCAGCTCATTTTTGCCTACCCAACCCGACTCATTTTTGACTAATTATGAACCAATTCGACGGGTTGACTCGTTTTTGTCAATCCTATCTGGTACGATGTACCGTACCAAAAAAATGGTTTGGTACAGCACCACATCCAAATGCTTAATTCGATGTTAGGAAAGAAACCACAAGATGCATATAACCAACTTTATAATTTCAAATGACCTGTTCATAATTGCAACGCTATTTATTTTAAGGAAACTTGAAGGAAAAAAAAGGAAGTTATTAGTAGTGAGTGTTTGCCTAAAATTTGAAAAATGCAAGTTCTAAAAAAAATGGTTAGTTGTGGTGAATCTTTACCTAAAGAAATAGACCATACTGTTATGTTAGGAATGAGATTCCTATCTGAAGAACTTGCAGGGGAAAAATCAAGAATAAGAGTAACAGAAAGGAAAATGAAAGAGAAAACTAAAGAAAGGGTTTCATTGATTATTTTCTGGTAAACTCCAACAAGAATACAGAGTCCCTTTTAACATTAGAGAAGTGTAAGAACACTAACAGATGTATAGATTTAACACAATAAATTAACGTTAAAAGTAGCACTTAGGTTGTTATCAATAAAAAAAAAAAAGTAGCACTTAGGTAATTATATGTATAAACCATAAAATGCGCAATATATATTATTATTATTACACCACACTTATTTAAAAAAAAAAGTACACACAAAATCAAAAAATTATAATATCAAAAAATACTTCTCACGCAACAATATATGTTTTTCCCTTTAATATTTATGAAGGTGTACGTATAGATTATAGAGGATGCATTCTACTTTACACATCTTTAAAAATCTTCCTCATATAATATATGAAGTGGACATTTGAAGAGATAAGCAAGAAAATATCGAGCCAGTTATTAAAATAAAATAAAATGACTTTCTCTCCTCCTCTATTTTTGCTATATATTATTTTCAATCAACGTAGACAGCTATGATGCACCGACACTTCAAAAATCTTGACGTGTCGTGTCCGACACTTCCCGACATTCTCGGACACCCGACACTCCTTGACACTCCAACACGCGTTATAGAAATTCAAAAAAAGATTTAAAGGTTGCGTTGCGTTGAGTTTTTAGTTCCAACTATTAGATTCATTGGATTACGATTACTATTTTATTGGGTTTAAAATAAATATTTGAGATATTTTATGTTTCTTTGCAAAATTTAAGAATATTATAAGTTTAGATTATTTTTTTGTTAAATTATTGAATATTAAATATAATATACACTACATAAATTAAAAATATTATTTAATATCATAACGTGTCCTAACGTGTCGAAATTTAACATTTTTTAAAATTAACGTGTCGGAGTGTCGTGTCGTATTGTGTCACGTGTCCCGTGTCGGTATCGGTGCTACATAGATAAACAGTATAGTGTACCTTTATGCTATATTCACTGTTTACATTGAAACTCAATCCTTATCACTCCTGTCTCCAGTGCCTTGACACATTGTCTTTTATCACCCATATATATATTGACAGTTGGTTTATCACTGTCAGTGGCTTCACATTATATTATGTTTCCATTTTGATGAATTATTCCAAAGTATTTAATTATTTTCAGCTGACATTGACAGGAAGAATAGTGATGTATACTATTGCTTCATCATTGTTACGTTCACAGAGTTATATTGATAATGTCGGCATAAGCTCTGTTTTCATTTTTATTATTTTGATGCGATTTCAAACTAATATTTCCCCCCCCCTAACATTTGAAATTAATTTTAATGTTATTCTATTAGGTGACAGCGTCCAAATTGTTAGCGTAGAGTTAGTATCTGTGAAGTTGGATCTTATATGTCCAATTTTATTATATGTGGGATTTAACAAATCATCTGAAATGGGTGGAAGGCAAAAGAACTAAAACAAAAGTAGTATATAATATTATAATTGCAAGAAAGAACATCGATGTCACAAGTCACAACATCATTAAGCATTTTGAAAACCAAATGGAATCTGCTTTCAGGTTTTACAAAAGCCACATATCAAAAGGGGAACGTGATTAAGGGCACAAAGTCAAAAGCTAAATTATGGAGCGAAGGTGGAGGAGCCTGAATGAAGCAAGCATGCACGTCATTGATATTTGTTGTTGCTGCTGTTTTGCTGCTTCCATCACAGAAGGGAGAACATGCAACGTTCAAGGGGGCCTACTCTGGCCCAATAAATAGTATGGTGCTCCCTGTTCTGTTAACCCCAAATGCAGCTGAAAGGTAGAGGTCTCTAAACTGTGGTCAACTCACAAAGCTCTATAACTGACTCTAATTCATAGGATTTTTTTGTGAGAGTTTTTTTTGTTTTTTTTGCTCGGACTCTCAAAGACATATAATTTAACAGGTTAGGTTAGGGTTAGTCGGCGAACCAAACTTTTTCCTTCGTTAAAATTTTTATTATTTATAAATATATAAATTAAATTATAAACTTAATATAAATAAAAATGAATTTTTCTGCAATGATATATTTCAATAAAGAATTTTATTTGCGCATCAGTAAAAATAAAATTTTCTATCGACCTGTGTTGTATATCCAAATTTGCACTATAACATATTATATACAATGCACCTTGGTAATTTTGTGGATAAGAATAAGTAAAAATATTTTTATAATGATAGTAGTCGAAGAAAATCAATTATTTAACTTTTAAATATATAGTATACTAAGAGCATTTATTCGTAGTAAGATCATTTTTTTCATAATTGCTTTTGATTTTCCACTAGAGTTGCTTTATTCTATTATGAATTTATGACTACTTGTGCAAAAATATTCATTTGAGATGACATCCTTTAACATCAAATTCAGTAAAAGTAGTAACCAAATCTTTACTTATTTAAATTTTATTTACATTTTTACTTGTATATTCTCCTTCTTCAAATTACGATTCATATTTTTATAGGGAAATCTTTGATCAACAATAGAACAAGATCCATTTTGAATCATATTTAAAGGATTCATTGGTTCGAGACGAAGAAGCAATGTCACTCGATCATTAACTGCAATCTTTTTCTATCTGTGAGGATCCCATCAGACAAATATTATTTTATTAAAAATTAAATTATTAAAATTTATAATTTGTATGAAATATTTTAATAAAGTATTAAATATTTATTTGTTAAAATAATTTTTTATTGTATTGAAATATGATAAAAAATAAAATTTTATAAAACTATAATTTTGGATGGCTCATAAGCTGGCTCTAGACCATATGGGCCCTGTGAACTTTTTAGCCCTAATTCACATAAACTAGGGCCTAATAAGACGGATTAACTCATTTTGACATTTTTAAAAGGTGCAAGATGGCATGTGACATGCATGTCTCAAATCTATCAATTAATACACTTCAATTTTATTTTTTTTAATATATAAATTATTCTATTAGTCCTTATAATTTAACTAAATTTTTAAGTAACACCTTTTATTTAAAAATATCAATAGATCAGATCATGATAAAATATTTGCACATATATAACAAAGGGAAAAATGTTTCTGCAGTTACTGCAGATAAGTTATCTATATTTATTCTCAAAACGACGTCATTTTGGTATTGAAATCTTAAAAAATTATAAATATAAAGATTATTATAACCCTGAAATAAATTAAAATTACAAAATACCATGATTTTCGTCCCAAAACGACGTTGTATTGGGCTTACGGCAGATAACTTATGAAATTGTTAATATATATTTTCTTAGTTTCTTAGTAAATAATTGTAACTCTTTATTTTTGTCTCTTAAAACATTTATTAAGAGTCAAATCAGCGGAATTAACATCCTTTCGAGCAATAGAGCTTGAGCTTGACCATAAGTTTTTTTTTTTTTTTTTAGATATAAGAAATTATTTCTCTTTTTTATTCAAACAAATTATTTTTCTTTACGTATTTCTCCTGTGCATATTGATTTGTTTATTTTGAGATTGAATTTCTCATATAATTTACACACAAAGTGAGATTTTATTGAGAACTTGGGAAAAAATTTATTTCAAAACAAGTTGCTAAGAAAGAAGGTGCAGCGTTGTTCATAACATAAATTAATTTTTTTTTTTTTTTTTTTTAGAGTGGGGAGAGGAGATGAGAAAAGGGGTCATGGTATCCCTCAAATTCATCTCTTCTTTTTACGAGACAATGTAACGTGATATGTCACTGAAGTCACTCTTCTTCCGTACATAAAATAAATATCTGAATAATTGGTTGATGCCTTCATGACTAATTTGACAGCCACGCACATGCTTGAGTTTTATTTCCATGCTGCATCTTGTTTCGGCTTCCGTTTTATTTAGGTTAACTACACAACATGGGTTTTTACAAGGGACCCTATACTCTGGCCCATATATCATTGGCCATTTATGGCTTTCCCAGTTTGGAAAAAATATTTCAGCCATGGGAATTTGGCCTATTGTCATGGCAAAATGGGCGGTCCGCCCCGCCCCACCCAACCATCAACCAGTTAAAAAATAAGTCAGTTTGTCTTGTCCTGCTTTTGAAAGTGGGCTGAAAAACTCAGCCCGCCCCGTCCTGTTTGGCGGGTTGGATGGGTTAGCTCGCCTGCCCGAGTCTAATTTACACTGACCCGCCTCGGCCCGCCTATGCCCGCCAAAAAATGAGTCTGTCCCGTCTCGCCCCGCCCCGCCCCGCTTTTGAGATGGGTTGAAAAACTCAGCCCGCTCCGTCCCGTTTGGCGGGTTGGCCCGCCGAGTCGAGTCCGTTTTGCCGGCTCTAATTGTCACATTGGATGAGATAATTATGAATTTATTCGTAAAAAAAAAATGTGTTTAGATATAATTATGAAATTATTCAGGCTTTAAACTCAAAGTGCTCTATGGAGACATATTAGATAAATAATTATATATGTACATACACCTAATACTGTATCACATGATATAATTTATTCACGAAAATAACAGTGGTTTTACTGTTCATAATGTGATTAACATTTTTTTTAAGATAAGAAACGCCAAATATAACAAGATCTTTCTTATATTCATAAAATTCTCTGGATTATTCAGATGTTATTTTCTTGAACATAAAACAAAAATACAATATTATGGGAATACATTAGCTCATAAGACATTATGATATTGACAAAATAAAACCTTAGAATGAAAACTGAATGCAGAAAAATATCAAAGTAAACAAACCAAAGTACCAAAAAGTAGGGCAAATGCATAGAAAGACCGCCATGTATATAATTTATCCATGCTTGAGCTACTCAATTCCAATGCTTTTCTTTTTTGGCTCAAAGACATATTTCATCAGTGAGTCCTTGATAGGAAGCAGCTCAGGAAATTCCTTCTTCAATTTTGATGCATCTATTTCGTTAATGCTTTGAGAAGGGAATTGAGCCTCTTGTTCAAGTGTAAAATTGATCCACTTAAAACCATGGTTAATGTAATTCTTGTACATCTCAAGAATCTCGTTGCAGGTCACAGTACCAGGATTTGTTAAGTTCCAAATACCCCTGCAATTTCTTTTAGCCATCTCAACAGAAATAGGCAGAAGTTCATCCAAAACAGTAATGTTGATAGGAATGTTAGCCACTTTATCAGATCTTGTCATCTTAGTGATAAAGTTGCGTGGATTGTCAAGATCAGAGGATACTGGAAATTGGATTCTGAGAGTGCACACATTTTCATAGTCCTTTAGAAGCTCTTCAACCTGACACCAAATTTTGAAAGAGATATAAACTCAATGGCTATGCAAAAACCTCATGTAAAAATCATGAACTATAAAGCAAAATGCACATTATTTGGAACATACCTTGGCTTGTGTTTTAGAGTAGAAAGAATCAATAGAATTTTTTCTGTCTTCAAAATTACCACCAAAGGCATAATTCATCATGGGGAGACCATGCTCCCTGCAGACATCTGCCAATGTTAATACACCAACAAAAATGGCACGGATTGTTTCTGTTTTATGAGCTTCAAACCACTTCACATTTAATGCACCAGTGACAAAAGAAGCATTGAAAACATGAGTTGGTTTAACGGTCTGGATATCAACCAAAATCTGTGATCGATCATCTAAATGCCCCCTTCCATTCTCAAAGGGTATCCCTTGGTTCTGACAAATATTTCCTAAAAGTTCCCCAATCCACCCTGCACCACCATATATCAAGAACTTCAGAGATGGCTTCTGAGCCAAAACATTGTTCCTTGGAGTTGGTACCACCATTCTATTCTGAGTAGAATTGTTTGCATCAACAGAAGAAACAACTTTGTTCATATCTTGGGCATTATTTTTCTCAACATCTGGCTTGGTCAACATTCTTGGATGAGGAAGCAAAGCTCCAGAAACATCACCCCACCAATCAGGATTCTTAACATACCAATCCATTGTCTTCCTTAGACCTTCCTCCCAAGTAGTGCGCTCAAACCATCCCAAACTCTTCAGCTTTTGATCATCTAAATAGTATCTCTGGTCATTGAAAGGCCTGTTCTCCACGAACATGATATGTGTATCAGGATCCAAAGAGAAAAGACTACATATGTTCCTTGCCACATCAGTCACTCTCCTTTCTTTCTTAGTCCCAATATTATAAACATGTCCCACCTCACCTCTATGGAGAATGACCTCAAAAGCCTCCGCAACATCTTCACAATAGAGATAACTCCTTACATTTGATCCATCCCCATGAATTGGTAGAGTATTTCCTTTCATGGCCAAGAGCAAAAACTTTGGAATCAGCTTTTCAGGGAACTGATTAGGCCCATAAACATTGTTCCCTCTTGTGGTTATAACCGGCAATCCATAAGATCGACCATATGCCATTACAAGCATCTCAGCACCAGCTTTTGTTGCAGAATATGGATTAGTAGGGAGGAGTTGACAAGCCTCATGGTTTCCCACCACTGCATCCTCTTCTGTTTCCCCATAGACTTCATCTGTGCTCACATGGATAAACCTCTTTACTTGACCACAAGTGTTTTTGCAGGCTTCTAGAAGGACATGTGTTCCATAAATATTGTTTTGGGTGAATTCAAAGCTGTTGCCAAAGGAGTTATCAACATGGGTTTGGGCTGCAAAGTGCATTATGGTATCAATGGACTCAGTGAGAAGGATGTAGTTAACAATGTCAGCACTGCAAATATCTCCCTTGATGAACTTGAAATTGGGAGATGAATGGGAGGGAATGAGGTTCTTAAGATTTGAACAATAATCAAGCTTGTCAAGGACAATGATCTTGTAGTCTGTGTAGTTACGTACTAGCCGGTTGCATACATGGGATGCAATGAAACCAGCTGCTCCAGTAATGAGAATATTCTTTGGCTTGTAGGTGGCAGCCATATCTGCACAACTTAAAACTTCTGTGTATAATGCAACAAAACTTCTAGTCAGCTATCAAGTACAAAATGTAAACTTTCAAAACCATGTATAACTACTAGACATTAAACAAAAACCAGGTTGAACATACCGAAGGAGATAAATATAAATATAACTAGAGTAGAGTAGTTAATAATATAAATAAGAGTTGAAACACAATGATGAAAAAAATCTTCAACCATAGTACTCCACAAAATACTTACATAAGATTCACAAATTGGAGCCGAAACGGATTTTTGTTTAAAATGTTGCTAGCAAGAGAAAAAGAAGGAGGGAAAGAGAGCCAATCACAAAGCCTGAGGAATGAGCATGGAATGTTGTTACCATCCCTATTTATAGCTCATAAATATGTCTCTCATAGTCTCATGTAACACGAGTCGTAATGTCTTTTTTTTCAAGGCACAAAAGACCTATAATAGTCAATGTAGTCTTAATTTGATACGGATAATTTTTTTTTTAAGCATGATGGGTTTGGTAAGAGAATTAGATCTAATAGTTGGTTTTAAAACGTGAGTAGAAATAGATGGCTCGGAAATGACCCCATAAGCGACTGTGATTAGGTGGGGTCAAATGTGGGCTCAGAATTTACTTCAAAGATTTATGAGATTATGCCATCTCTTCTCTTCGATGCTCACAAATATTACCTCCAAATAGTCATGGAAAGCTAAACTTGTATCACGAGGCATGAAATGAAACCCTTCTATTTCATATATCACTCTAAAAAATAAAAAGGGATAATTATTTATAAAGTAAACATTTAATAACCAAAAAAATGGTTATTAACTATCATACATAAAATAAACATGAATGAAGTTTATACAAAAAAGAATAAGAGAGGTGATAAATGGTATCAATTGATAGTATTTTCATTGATTTAAAACTGTACATCAATGTATCTTAAATAGAATAGGCTGTTACGGCTGTTACCAAACAGTCTGTTACCAAATAGTAAAACAACTTCCTAAAGATAAGTAACTACACCTAATTACAATAGGACTCAGTTATACATATCCTAACAAACTACAAGTTACAACATATCACAGCAAATCATAACAACATATAGAATCTTCTATTCCAACACTCCCCCTCAAGTTGGAGCATGAAGACATGAAATGCCTAACTTGGAAAGAACGGCAAGAAATGGAACACGACCAAGTGCTTTGGTGAAAATGTCTGCGAGTTGCAAATGAGAACGAACAAAAGTAGTTCGAATCGTCTTAGAAACCAACCTTTCCCGGACAAAATGGCAATCAATTTCAATGTGTTTAGTTCGCTCATGGAACACAAGATTTGCCGCGATATGTATAGCGGCTTGATTATCACAACATAATTCCATAGGATCATCATGGATAACATCAAGTGAAGCAAGAAAAGACTTCAACCATATCAATTCTGCTGTCGCGGCAGCCATGGAACGGTACTCAGCCTCTGCTGAGGAGCGTGAGACAGTGAGTTGCTTCTTTGTTTTCCAAGAAACAGGTGAGGTTCCAAGCATAATGAAGAACCCAGAAACTGACCGGCGAGTTAAAGGGCAGCTGGCCCAATCTGAATCACAGAAAGCATGAATTTTGAGATCACTTTTGGAAGAAAGGAGGATACCTTGGCCAGGATTCATTTTGATGTATCTTAGTACCCGAATGGCAGCCTCATAATGTGCTTCCTTTGGAGCTTGCATGAACTGTGAAAGAGTGTGCACTACATAACTCAAATCAGGACGAGTGATCGTAAGGTACACTAGCTTGCCGACAATTCTTCTATAGCGACCTGGATCATCATAGTCAGGTCCATCTGCCAGAGCTAAGCGATGATTCTGTTCAATTGGAAACTGAACCGGTTTACAATCCAACAAACCTGTTTCTTTGAGGATATCTAATGCATATTTTCGTTGGCACAAGAAGATACCCTCATTGCTACGGGCAACCTCGATGCCTAAAAAATATTTCAAGTGACCCAAATCTTTAATTTTAAAACACTTGTTAAGATAAATCTTAACCTCTTGACATGCTTGGGAATCATTGCCTGCCAACACCAAATCATCAACATAGACTAGTATGGTCAAGAAGGTAGAACCACGCTTCAAAGTGAACAAAGTGTGATCTGCTTCGGATTGAACAAAACCGTATTTAATAAGTGAGGAACTCAACTTTGCAAACCAATTCCTGGGAGATTGTCGTAAGCCATATAACGACCTTTGCAAATGACACACTTTTCTTCCTTGTCCTTGATTAAAGCCTGCCGGTATGCGCATATACACTTCTTCGTCCAGTTCTCCATTAAGAAACGCATTATGAACATCCATTTGGTGCAAGTACCAACCTTTTGCAGCTGCAACCGAGAGTAGAGTTCTAACACTCACCATTTTCGCTACAGGAGCGTAAGTTTCATGGAAATCTTCTCCTGGAACTTGATGATTGCCTGCAATTACCAACCTTGCTTTGTTGCGCTCGATGCTACCATTGGAATGATATTTAATTTTATATACCCATTTACATGGAAGGGCATGTTTGCCTGCAGGTAAATCAGTGATAGTCCACGTATTATTTTCTTCTAGTGCATGTATCTCCTGAGCCATAGCTTTACGCCAAACATCATTGGTCATTGCTTCTTTAAATGACCGAGGTTCACTACCTGCATCAATAGCAGCAACAAAAACTCGATGTTTTGAAGAGAAATTGTTAGTATTCACATAGTTGGCAATTGGATACCGTATACCTGAGGTGGAGCTAGAAGAGGTGAGACTGGGAGTGTATGTATGTGCCTCAATCAGATTACATTTGTAGTTACTCAAATAGGACGGAGGCCTTCGTGTGCGTGCTGGACGAAGAGAATCGTTTTGAGCTGATTCTGCACTTCTTTGCACAAGTTCGTGAGCTGAATCTTCATTCCTTTGTACGAGAGCAGGAGCTGGATCCTCACTCCTTTGCACTTGATCAGCATTTGATGTAGAATCTTCATTCGGCTCCCTTTCAGACTGATGGACACTCCCCCTATCTTCCAACTGCACTTCTGCCTCACAATCATTTGAAGTTGATTGAGATACTGGATTGGCAGAATCATTAGAATCTATTGGTATAAATGTAGGTAATGATGGGCTAGGTGTAGGCACACTTATAGCAACAAAAGGAAACTCATCTTCGTGGAAACTGACATCTCGTGACACAAAGAATTCCTTAGTATTAAGATCATACACTCTCCAACCTTTCTGCCCATGAGGATAACCAACAAACATACACCGCCTAGACCGTGGACTAAATTTGTTTGTAGGTTTTGGTTGTGTCACCGCATAACATAGGCAGCCAAATATCCTTAAGTGACTGTAATCAGCAACAGATCCATGCAAAACACAACTATTATTAGTGAATACCACATCAACATTATGTTGTCGTACCAACTGAGATACAGATATCAAGTTACACTTTAAATTTGGCACAAATAAGACATTGGATAATGAAAAAGAAGGAGTAAACGAAACAGATCCTTGTTGCACAACATAAGTAATAGCTCCATTGGGTAAACCGATTGCCAAAGGTTCAACATCTGTAACATTCTCCAGCAATTCCAATACCCCTGTCATGTGGCGTGATGCACCACTATCTATAAGCCAGTGACAATGGGAATCTTTACGATTTAATTTGTCCTTTGAGCGTTGCGGGTTGTCAACCAATGATAACAATTGTGTCACCACGTCAGGTGTCAGAACGGCGAATGCATTTGCTTGCTCTAGTGGTTCCTCCGTTTGAGCTGCGTGTGCACCAAATGGCTTTGCATGGAATCCTCCTTGTGGGTTACTGCTCCTATCACCACCAAAACGTCCACGTCCTCGTCCAGGTCCTCGTCCTCTGCTACCACCACGTCCAGGATAGCCAAATGCTTGCCAGCATCGAGAGGCTTCATGATTAGTTTTCCCGCAGTGAATGCATGGAGGACGTTCAACAAACTTTTCCCAATTCTCGTAGTTGGCTTCTCCTCTCAGCATAACGGTTGTTAAAAGAATCTCTGGGCTATCTGATCCAGTCAGATAGAATGGTGATCCAGGGTCTGATGGCTTCAACCTGCTGCTGTTTTCATTGGCCATCTTCAACAGAAGCTATCTCCTGCTCACTGTTTTCAGAGTCTACACGTTGCGGAAGTTTTTTTTTTTTTTTTTAACAAGGGATCGCTCTGATACCATGATAAATGGTATCAATTGATAGTATTTCCATTGATTTAAAACTGTACATCAATGTATCTTAAATAGAATAGGCTGTTACGGCTGTTACCAAACAGTCTGTTACCAAATAGTAAAACAACTTCCTAAAGATAAGTAACTACACCTAATTACAATAGGACTCAGTTATACATATCCTAACAAACTACAGGTTACAACATATCACAGTAAATCATAACAACATATAGAATCTTCTATTCCAACAAGAGGCTAGGGATTTTTCCATTGTCAAGGTTGTAATTGGCGACAATGCATTAATATAATGGATAATCTTAGTATCAAATGCAATTAGTTTCTCACTAAAAATGTATGGGGTAACGACAGGAATAAAAGATAAAATTAGTATAAATTTTTTGAAAACAATTAAAAATAATTTTATTTAATTTTATTATTAATTAATATATCATTTTTACACTATTATTCAAAAGTTGTACGTTTTTAATAATACAATAATGCCTAATTTTATAATAATATAAAAAATTATCATAGCAAATTATTAAATTAAGTCATACAAAAAATGTATAAAAGTTTCGTTTTTTAAAAAGATTGGATTTTTTATTTTATTTTATTTTAAGATTGGACCTCGTTATTCCTAGGTAGGCTAAAGCAGTGCCTTCCTTTTCCCGTCTTGTGTTTCCCATGGCCATTAGTACCATTGTCAAGTCAGCATCAGTTTCAACAAGACTTTCCATATGGCAGAGGAAGTTCATTGTACATTAAATAATTATAATTAAATATGGGAAAAATATCTATTCTTTTAAAAAGATATAAGTTTATATCTTTTAGATTCTAACCGTTGATTTCCGTTCATCAACGGTTATAATCTATTAAGTCAAACTTAATGGGCCAAATTTATTATTAATTAATTAATAATTTTAATTCAATAAATTATAACCGTTGATGGACGGAAATCAACGGTTAAGATCTAAAAGGATATAAACTTATATCCTTTAAAAGGATAGATGTTATTTCCATTAAATATATATTTATGCTATTAATAAGTTTTAGAAAAGTATATACATTAATAAAATTCCTTAAATTTTGATAAAGAAATATTTCTAACATACTTACGAATAATAAATAAGGTAGTAAATATTATGATGAGGAGGAAGTGAGGAATATGATGATGCTATTCTCTTGATTTTTCTTTGAATCCTTCACTTCCTAATGTGATCCAATTCATATTAGGCCAAGCACAGTTGATAAAATAAATGAAGTGGAAAAGCCCAATTTGAATATGATCAAATAATAGGCCCAAGTTTCAGTAAAGCCCACCCAAAACTTATTTGGGTGATAATCTCTAGAGACTTCCATGAAAACATGCTCGCATGACATGACATCAAATCCAGTAACTGCAAGGTTTATCGATGCACAAAATTTCAGTGATTGACCAAATGGATTGTCCTTAGAGATTCAACTTTGGAGATTCGCCACATGATTCCATGTGAGTATGTTTTCAACATCGTAGCTTGATCTCCCTCTGATTTGAATGATGCAGTGGATTATGTGCTATTAACCCTTTATGGTTTATTAATCTTATGTCAATAAATTTTGGTAAAAGTTTGATCTTCTTTTATTTTCACCTGGAATAAAAAAGAAGGGTTGTGTTATACACTCCACAGTTGATGATGATGATGATGTGAAAAACTTCATAACAAAAAAACAGTCATTTAGTTCTACTTTCTGTTGCTTTGTTTTTTGACTTCAATTTAAAGCACTATATTATCTCTTCTTGCAGCATGTTGAAGCGTGGATACAAATCAAAGGCATGGAGTGGTGCTCAAAATTGCCGGGTCCCGGTGGTTGTTATGTCTCTTACATTGATGCTAATGCTGGTGATTCTCTTTTTGGTATTTCGTAATGATAATGGTGGTGAAAAACCCAGTTTAGCTTATGAACTTCCTAAGCTAAAGTGGAATAGCTTTGACTCATTGGTGCAATTGCATCCAACGAGAGAATTCCGGAATGGAACAGATTTGATATGGCAAGTACCTGAATCACCTAAGGGTGTTCTCTTTGTGGCTCATGGATGCAATGGCAGGGCCATCAACTTTTGGGATCAATCCCCTGAATGTCCTGATTGCATTGGTTTGCCTGAAGAACGACTACTTGTACTTCATGGTCTTGCCCGAGGCTTTGCTGTTATTACAATTTCAAGTGCAAGAAGATGTTGGACATATGGTAAGGAAGTGTTAGTTGTTAAAGATATTATAAAATGGTGGATTGGTGGAAGGAAGCTTGAAAAATTACCTATTGTGGCTTTGGGTGCTTCTTCTGGAGGGTATTTTGTATCTGCGCTTGCCACCGCTATGAAGTTTAATAGTATTGTGCTCATGATTGCTGAGGGGATGTTTGGGGAAATGGATATTAAAGGGGACTACCCGCCTACCCTTTTTGTTCACATGCCCAAAGATCTTTATAGGCAGCAGAAAATAGATGAATATACGAAGATTTTAAAAGATAAAGGGGTTGATGTTGGTATTGTTGAGTGCATGGAGTTCCCATTGTCACTAAATACTTTAGCTGATAGAATTCCGGGTCTAGATCAGACTCTTTCTAGAAGGTTATTTGAATTCTTTAAGGAAAATGGTTTTATTGATTCAAATGGATATATGAGGAAAGATGGACGTCAAATAAAATGGAAAAAGATTCTTGAGGAGAAGAAAACTCTTTTGCTGGATAAGCATCTTGTCCCTCATATACAGGAGGAGCTAAACCATGCATTTGCTTACCATGAGATGACCAGCATGCATTCTGACCAAATCTTTAAGTGGTTTGAATCTCATATGAGCTGATCGGACCATACTTGCAATACTCTCTGGTGCTTAAATTGCTATCTGCTGTAAAAAAAAATTGCAGCCAACAGGACTGCTATGTAATTAAAACCCACTTGTATTCAAAGAGATTGGGGACCTATCCTTCCTCTTATTTTACTAGAAATCAATCAGAGATACAGTTACTCACGTGTAAAGATTTCTGTAGTGGTTACTTTATCAGATACCCAGTCTCAAGGGCTGGAATTTCTTAATTGGATGTTACTGTCAGAAGTTATCAATTTGAAAGGTATGCCTTTGATCTTCTGCACCAATATCGTATGTGCTTTGGCAAGCAGTCTGCTGTATGTTATTCTAGGTTTTGTTAAAATTTTGATCTTTCTACCATTTTTTCTTTTGAGCTTTGAATTACAAATCCTTTTTCAATCTTTGAAATTTGTAAACCCTGGTGTGTTCTAAAATACCCTTTTGTAATATGGCTGTCAAATTATGAGCCCAACCCACTATTCTAGGCAAGCTCAACTGCTAGATTAGTTTGCCCTATGCTCTGAACCCATTTTGACAGCTATACTTGGTGAGGAAAAAATGTGGAAATATTTGTCTGATAAATTCAAAATAAGAAAGGACAACATAATTATTAAAACAAGAGGAGACATGAATGTAATTTAAGCAAGTCTAAGTAAAGGGTATATAATTTTCTCTCTTAAATTTTAGGTAAAGTGTTGAAAGTATCTTAGTAGGTCAAGAATTATGATTGTATTTTAATTAAAATGCAAACAACCTTCCTCGGCTTTTAAGGCTTTGTTTGGAACGACGATGAAGGATGGAAAGGAGAGGAGGAGTGGAATGGATTGAGATGGTAAAGGATACCATTGTTTGGATCTTTATAAAAGATATGGAAAGGAATGGAAATGCGGAGATTACGTTCCACTCCATACCTGTCTAGTCCCTGATTATTCTTTCCCTCCAAATTGGAAGGGGAGGGGGGTATGGGATGGAGGAGCTTATGAAATCACCCTTTTCGTCCTCAATCCTATGGTTTATTGTCTTTGAAATAAGGGTAATATAGGAACAGTAAACATGCAACTTTTGTAATTCCATTTCTCTTCAACTGTATCTTCCGAACAAGTGAATGGAGATTTTCTTCCATTCTATCACTAAACTTCCAAACAATGGTTTGGGAATATTATTCCAATTCATCCCTTTTTCAATCCACCGATTCCATTTTATTCACCATAAAACATCCAAACACAGCCTTTAGTCTTGATATTTTTATTTTTTTTTATGTTCTAATTTTTACCATTGAGCTTCCATAGCATGTCAATAACTGTTTTTATCACCGACATGCTTGAAATTTTCAACCACCAATTGACCCATTAATCATTCAACATAGAGAATTCATATTTATAAATTAAAAGTCTTTATATATAACCGTTATACATAAACTTGAAGTAAGTAGATATATAAATATATATTAAAAGTTGAGCACATCTTTTAATTCTTTATTCCAATTTTTTTTACAGGCAAGACATATGGATGAATTAATATTCCTTGTTTGTTGTCAGAACTGCTTAAAATCTTTTGGGACTTCAAAATTATATGCAAATTCTAATGTCAGGGATTCTTAAAATTGAAGTTTTATGTCATGTGCTCTTCAATGTTAAGGATCAAGGTGATTTTGAATCTAATAAACTCGCAAGAACTACTGTAACAAGGTGTAGTTTTTATTATCTTACTGAATCAGTGAATAAAACTGGCTACAGTTTTGCTTATTTTAATTGAGTGATACCATATTGATATTTCTACGCTTCGTGTCGGTTACATTTAATATCTTTCTCATATTTGGGAAGTGTGGTAAGCTGAAGACGTGCGTTTGTTATTGTTTTGTTTTTATATTCAGAAATAGGGTTGAATGAATCTTTCCACTTTACTCGTGAGGAGTACCCTCTATTTACACGGTTTAGCTACCGGTGTAATTGTTCTAAGCCAAACAACAGCCTTGTACACTTCCTGTTGAGGGCACTTAAAAAGACAGTATATGGACCTCACATGGCTCTTCAATCCTTCCTCTTCCTCTATATAGCTCACTTTCCCATTTTGTACAGGGGCACCCGCTCTAGCATCTTGGCCCATCTGTTGTCGTTGTTTATATGTATATATTGACAACAAAGCCATTCCTTTGCATTTCACTAGGAAACAATACTGGACCACTTTACAGTGTGGACCTTGTTCATGTTTGCAAGGCTCACCCGATCATGCTTATGACTTGAATGCAATTCATGTAGCATGAACAAATGAACATTTCTAGACTAGGGCTACTTCTGGATTACTCTGTATGGATAATAAATTTATTTTGAAAGATGATGTACACCCTTAGAGGTAAACCTTCATTTAGTGAGAAGATGATGCACAGCACACCCTTAATGTGAACCTTCTGTGCTGAACATTGGACAATCATCAGTTTTTGATTGATGAATAGTATTGCAGATTCTGATTTAGCCTGCCATTTTGGCTGAGTTGAAGTGATTTTAATATAATGAAAAGAAGGATTTCTTAATAAGAATTTGACATTGCTTCATATATTAGGCTTTATACTTGAATCTTCTGAATGAAGATCTGGAACTATCAAAATAACAATATATTAACTTTATTTAAAAATAAGAAACCATAAAAGCTAACATTAAGTTGTAAAGTAACATGATGTCCATCTTAAGGTAAATTAATACATGATAAAACCAAAGAACACACTCTTAGCAGAAGTCTTAGATATAACGTTCTTAATAAACTGACACATAAACCAAATTAATTATATCATGCATGAGGCTTCATTCGCCCCTCGTTGGCCATCCTGAAGAGGCGGGCTTGTGCGGCTGCGGCCTTATTTGAGCTTAGCGACGTTGCAAACCGGTCTCTGACTTGCTGGGTTGTATAAGGGAACCTGTTGTTCACCAATGAGTTGAGAAAGGAAGCTGTCCCTTCTCTGTAGAGTGCTCCAAGCCCATCAGTTCTTGTGTTTGAAAGTGCTTGTGGCAAGCTGAGACTGGCCGCTCCAGATCCTGGTATAACAGAGACGCCAAATGCATTGCCTAAGGTTCCCCACCAGCCTAGCAAGCCCAAGATGATTCCTGGGTGAGTCCTCCAGTAGCTGCAGTTTAGAGGAAAAGGTCCCAAAGGTTACGTAACAGTGTGGGAGTATATATGATAGTTTACAGTACAATGTAGTAGTGAAAGGAACTTACTTGCATGTACCAGTGAAGGGAGATGGGGATGGAAGGAAAGGGGGTGAGGGGAGAGTGGGGGTGCCTGGGTCGATTGGGGTGGTTGGTGGGCTCACAGTGATTGGTGTTGGGGGGCTACCACCTCCATAAGTTGGTGGTGAGTTATAGTACCCACCGCCTCCTGAGGGAGGGTTTGATGGTGTTGCTGGAGTTGAGGGCGTTGAGGGTGTTGGAACAGAAGGTTCGTGTGGTGGTGATCCACAGTTGCCAGGTGTTGATGGCGTCGGATTGTAACTTCCACCACCTGAGGGTGTTGATGGGGTTGGATTGTAACTTCCACTGCCTGGGGGAGTTGTTGGGGTTGGATCATAACTTCCGCCACCTGGGGGAGTTGATGGGGTTGGATTGTAACTTCCACTTGAGGGTGGTGATGGGGTTGGATCATAACTTCCCCCACCTGGGGGAGTTGATGGGGTTGGATTGTAACTTCCACTTGAGGGTGGTGATGGGGTTGGATCATAACTTCCGCCACCTGGGGGAGTTGATGGGGTTGGATTGTAACTTCCGCCACCTCCATGTGATGGGGTTGGGTTGTAACTTCCACCACCTGAGGGTGGTGATGGGGTTGGATCATAACTTCCACTGCCTGGGGGAGTTGATGGGGTTGGATCATAACTTCCACTGCCTGGGGGAGTTGATGGGGTTGGATTGTAACTTCCACCACCTCCATGTGATGGAGTTGGGTTGTAACTTCCACCACCACCATGTGATGGGGTTCCATGAGAGGGTGTTGTGCTTCCATAGCCACCTCCATGTGATGGGCTTGGATTGTAACTTCCGCCACCTCCGTGTGATGGGGTTCCATGAGATGGTGGTGTGCTTCCATAGCCACCTCCAGAGCCATGAGATGGTGGACTGCGCGACCCTTCAAGAAGTGAAAACAATGCATACTGTCAGGTATGAGAGTAAAATATCAAAATAGCTTCTTTATGTTTCGATCCTTCAAACTTGAAAGTAAATGACCTACTGTAGCTAGCAAGGAAAGTTCAAAAGCCTGTCAATATTGTCCTCTATTTCGCATAAATAATGAAGTAAAATAGATACTTCAGTTGGAGAATTACATAGAGAATTAGATGAACCTGTGGAAGGACTTCCTGCATGTGGGTCTGGAGAGTAGTAGTTTTTCTGATCCTCAACGGTGGTGGATATTACAGGGATGACAAGGTTCTGAGAAAGCAATCCAGCCAGCAATGTGAACATGGTAAGAAAAGCAGGATTGCTTCTTTTCCTCTCCATTATCACTGACAGCTTAGAACACTACGAGAAAGAAGAGAAAGAGGAGGTTTGAGGATTTTGTAATGCTTTGGGGAGGGGGGCTGACATATAAAATGGTTCACAGAGTGAAGTAAATATTAGCAGGTGGAGGAGTATGCGGGTTAGTTGATGTTTTGCAGGGTGCATTTACTCTATTATTAACTATTTCTTCCTGCAATAATGCCCGAGTTTTCTAAAATAGCTTAAATAAAACACAGGACGTGAATTGAGTTGAACATGACCTTCTGTACTCTCTCTTAACTCAGGCCTTGTTTCCTGTTGATCATAAACTTAAGCTGGAGTTTATGGAAATTTCTCATTAACTTTGCGTGTCCCATGCTGTATATTATGGTAATGATTGCAGTTATGCTTGTTTTAATGAAGTTTATGTTCTGAAAGCTCAGTGAGTGTTACATATCACTTTCTCCTCCAATAAAATTAGGGAGCCCGCTTGACTATAACAGCGAAATATCCAGCCCCCCGACACTGATGAGGGCTGATGGAAACATGCATCGGTACAGATTTTTCAATATTTTTAATATGACACTCTCAAAAACTGCTGTGATTTTTCATTTTTCTAATATCTGACATTGCAAGTGTGAATGAGTAATTCCGAACTAAATGAGATTGACAGGGAGTAGGTGAGGTTGCACAAAAATGTTGGGACAGTAGTAAATAGGAGCAGCAAATTTTTTTGCTCGAAAGATCATGAGGTGTCCCTAAATTAGGATTTATCGAGGAGCGGTTTGGTCCCAAGTATCAGATATTTTTAATGGATTTGAATTTTTACATTGCAGGTGAAGTTTATACATATGAATATACTAAAAAAAAAAAAAAGTTTGCACATATGTATGTCAGTTTATCAATTGAGTCATATCGTGTAGCAAATTTGGTGATACTGTTGGGACTCCCAAAACCTGCCATTGCTTTGGTCTTTTATTTGAGGAAAAATTGTTACATAGATAGTATGTACTGTATTATAAATACTCAAATTTGCAACTAATATATGTAAGGTTGCGTATGATATGTTGAAATGTACCTATTTCAAAGAAAAAGGCATTTAGATTTGTCAACCATCTAGTATCTAAAATAGACATGATTTAACTAATAATTTTGAGAACATGTTAACTAGTAATTTAAGATTATTTATTTGGGTGTCTATGTGATAGTCCGTGACGGTTTAAGAAATTATCAGGAATTTCTCAATGTGAGAGAGTGGGGGAGGAGTTCCGAGTTCATACTCAAATTTTTATTGATATAAATAAAGAGATTTGATTTTTTCACGTTATATGATAATTGAATTTTTATGTTGTGATTTAATTAGTGGTGAGTCTCACATTTATTAAAAAAAGAAAAAAAAAAGAAAATGAAAATTTTGCATGCAAATCGAAAAATCACGATATAAGAATTGAATTGAATATGAGAAAATGTTATTTCAACTGGATAGTGTATACGAGGAGAACAAGTTGGCTATGAGCTTTCGCATATGGGCAAGACTATTGTTTGTAAACGATGGCTTTGAGAGAGTAAAATGCCATGGTAACCTAATAAGCAGGAACTGTAAAGTGGGAGTGGGAGAGACTCTCATTACTGTTGTGAACTGTTCATAGATTGTGACTGTGTTGGGAAAGGTGCTTTGATATTTTTCCAACATGAACCTAAATTAAATAGGTGCGTGAATTTGTCTCTAAAATTTACTAGCAGACTATACAGCATTTATTAAATAGGCCCTTAACAGTTTACTTTTTCTTTTTTATTCTGGGTCATGTCGAAACCAAGTCTCTGAAAAAATATACTAAGCTTTTGACTATAATAAAGATGCTTCTTGTACAACATCACGAGTGTTTTTGGAGAATAGTAGTTTGGATTCAAAGACGAGAGAGCGACTTGCTCTTGAGCTTTGCATTCGGTAGAGAAACTGAGGACAGCATTTTCTCGATATAATATTGATTGGGTTTTTAATGTTATGTTTGTTGATTTAGTTACCAAACATGTTCCATGTTTGGTTTTGGTTTTTGACAAGGAAATTGTGAAATATGAGAAAAATTATATGCACCCGTTAGAAAGTTAAAAATATATTAGAATATTAATAATATTTATTAGAGCCTACTAAAAAAATAATAATATTTATTAGAAATAGAAATATTATTTAGAATAACCATATACCAAAATATCCTAAATAATATTTCTATTCAGTGTTGAGAAAATTGGCCCGGCCCAGCCGGTCGGACAGGTTGGCCCGGAAACTGGCCTATTAACTGGTCCGATTCTTGCAACATACCGGATATTTTAATGACCCGGTGAACCGGTCGGTTTTGGAAAAAATAATTCTAAAGTTGCAGCCGCTAGAATTTAAACTCCAATCTTATGAGTATGCCCCATAACAACTTACCACTGGGCAGTGTTTGTTTGTTGGTTAATATGCACCATTTAATATATATATGGGTTCGCTTTTTCTGTAGTTACTGCAAATAAATTATCTGCAGTAAGCTCAATACGACGTCGTTTTGGGGCAGAAATTATGGTATTTTTGTAATTTTAATTTATTTCAGGGTTATAATAGTCTTTATATTTATAATATTTTAAGATTTCAATATCAAAACGACGTCATTTTGAGAATAAATGCAGATAAGTTATCTGCTTTAACTGCAGAAACATTTTTCCCTATATATATATATATCATATCATTTAATAGAATTATTTAAAAATTGCATCTAGTGGAAATCGAACCCTTGTTGTGAAGATATAAATTGTAGTATTTACTACTAAGCTACATTTGGTTCTTAGTTGACTTGTATCATTTAAAATATTTATTATATAATTAAGTTTAAAATATAAATTTATGTATACGGTTGAACCTATGATCCACTGACCCGGTACCCCGACCAGGTCGATCACCGGTCCGGATTTAATAACATTGTTTTTATTTCTAATAAAATATAACTCTGGATAACGCTGCAACACTTTCATTTTCCGGGTTTCAGTTTAGATATTGGGTGCCTTCATGCCTTGGAATGCTCACTGTTTGAAAGGATTGTGTTCTGATGTTCTCTGTTTGAGACATATGAAACAGAGAACCTGTTTCTATGTGAATTTTATGAAGAGAATGTTCTATAATCCTTAGCCTTGAAGGAGCAAAGTGGCTTTTTTAAAAAATTGTCTCCATTAAGCTTGTTAAGATGAATATCTAAAGGTAAAGGAGTGAGAAAACGTGGAAGAAGCCAAGGTATTTTCAGTATTCTGCCAGGACTACCTAGAAAACAAAATATTTTACAAGGACCACCCTTCTAAATAATTAATAATACTTGCAATATAGGTTATAGGAGAGTCATGGACAAATCAAGAGATGATGTGAAACTGGAGATGTATGACTACACCGTTTCGAACTGGGCAGCATTAGAAGGGCGACAAATTTCTGTATATCAAATTTTTTAATAGAGCTATGTAGTCGTTCTTTTGATGATTAATGAAATAATAATATGAAAAATGTTTATAATAAATCATAAATAAATCTAGATCTATAAAATAATGTATATGAAATATCTGAAAAATAATTAATGAAATTGTAATGAGTGGATTCTCTCGTGCTAAATAAAACATGACATGATTATATGAAGGAATTATAATTATATAAAGGTGGATCAATGATAATAATGAAAAAGAAAAAAAATATTGAAATATGTAGTTACAAAATTATCACAGTTAATATATTTTTGTATAATAATGATTTTTTCACTTAACTATGTCATATTTTATTTAATATGAATGGATGCATTTCCAAATAATACACTGTCTCATTTGCATTAATCATCTGAACTATTATTATTTTTATAACAATGTCTTAGTTGCATTGAATTCAACCGTCTAACCTCTATCTCATGCAACTCATTAATGAGTGTTTTCAATGAAGCTTACCATGGTGTGTTACTTTCTCAAAGTCCAAAGACCCAACACGTTTGCATGTTTCGGTGGATACCATATTCTAAACATTTCCCAGGGGATTGGGTTGTGATAGAATCGAAGAGTTAAAAATACCGAATGCGCAACGGATTCATGTTTTCTTTCTCTATCTCTTTTCTTTATATAGATTTATACGGACTTCATATTTTGTGTGTGTATATTTTGATAAATAGTAAATAAAATTATCTAAAATAATTTTAGAAACTTTAAACCATTTATTTATGGGAAAAGTGTCTATACTTTTAAATTACACAACTTACATCCTTTCACTCTCACAAAGAGGTGGGACCCACAACTTTATTTTTTTTTGTCAACTCTATCTCCTCCTTTATCTATCTCTTTCTCTCTCTTAAAATGACACAACTTTACATCCTTCAAAATTATACACACTTTTCCCTTTATTTATTCATAAAAAAGAATTGTTGTTAAGAACAGAATCATACTAAATGGAGTTCCAACGGAGCCAGCTCATTTCCGATTCGCTCTTGCAAGGTTCCATGACCGAGCCAGTTTTACATTTTGATTCTATTTTATTTACTACAAAATCATAATACATCTTAGTAAAATCATTTGAAAAATAATAAAGATGTAATTCTCTTAAAAATGATAATTTTGTCTTTGATTATTGTAAGGGTTTTATGTTTATCATTTAACATAATATAACTTCACTTTCCTACACATACATTAAAGAAGTGATGTTTACATGTTTTTCTTTCTCTTCCATCATTCCACTTTCTCTCCCCCTTTTGATGTGAGAGTTGAAAACAATACTTACATTATGTTACATAACACTAATAAAACCCTTATTGTAATCTAATTATATGTCATTAAATTTGATGATATTGTACTTCCTTTTTTTTCTAGCTTTTATATAATTCAAATGTAACTTTAAGATTATAAATTAATTCAAACTCTAATCTTCAAAACGTTTGTTTAGATTTAGTAATCTTTAAGATAAGAACAAGTATGAGTTCTTTTTTCTCATGTTGATGTAAAAAAGAAGTTCTTCTATCACCTCTTATAATTATATAATTCGAGAAGGACATAGTTATAATATTAAATTTTTTTTTTTATTTATATACCATTCGACAATGTCTGAAGAGAAAAAAAAAAAAAAACAACTTTAATATTATAATTATATATTTATAAGCGGGTGGCAGGAAATTTTTTTTTTTTAGATCGACATGAGAGTCTATTATCTTAATGGTTACTAATTGACTCATAATATTTATTGTAAAAGAACAACTGTATACAGTACATTCCAGCTTGAGTTTTAGTTCCTTTTGCAAATACAATACTGAAACTTGTATGCTAAACATCCACAAGCAATAGATCAACAAAATCCAGCTTTCTAACTTGACAATGATTCTTATTTATTTCCGTTCTTCTATCAGAAAACAACTTGTTCAAAATTATTCAACCATTAGACTTAGGCGGTTGCAAACAACATTATCTCCAACATGATCAGCCTACCTTTCTAATTACTTTATAAAGATACTGCAAAATTGAGATTAAGAGACGGTGATTCTGCACCATTAATTTTTGCTCACATTGCTGCAATAATGAGCAATCATGATGGCTGAAACAAGTTCCGAAGTCTCACAAAATATTGATACTTAACCAGATTCTTAGGGATTTTTGGGTAACTAAAAAACTTCAAAAGTTGACCCTGGAAGAGATGAATGATTTTTTTTTTTCCCTCTTATGAATTTCTCAGGTACATAATGATGATTACGTGTCATTCTTTAGGGACAATGAATTTATTAGTGTCAGCAATTCTACATAGTATTCTTTTCATAAGCTCTACTGCTAAAGTATTCTTTTGTTTCAGTCAATTGACCAGATCACAGGCTTTCAAATAAGAAATTTATTAAGAATGAATTGACTTCAAGAATCATTAACATTATAATAAAACTCAACTGGGTTTGACTTGACTTCATTCATCATCTTCCAGAAACCACAGGTTCCTATAAATATGTAAACCAGAATTTGAGCATTACAACAATTTCTAGATATGAATTCAAAATTTTCAAAGCTCTTGATCCTTACAAGTTCACCAATGTTTGAGGATATTATCTATTTTATCTTTTGTGCCTTGTTTCCCCTGCTTGCACTAGTCTCTTTCAATTTCTTGAGGCAAAAACAATGCTGTAACAAAGACAAAAGAAAGCTACCACCAGGGGAAATGGGGTTCCCCTTGATTGGGGAGACAATGGAGTTCTTCAATGCTCAAAGGAGAAACCAACTGTTTGAAGATTTTGTTCATCCTCGCATTCTGAAACATGGGAAAATCTTCAAAACAAGGATAATGGGGTCTCCAACTGTGGTTGTGAATGGAGCTGAAGCCAATAAATTTTTATTGTCTAACGAGTTCAAGTTGGTCAAAAGCTCTTGGCCTTCTTCCTCAGTCCAGCTCATGGGAAGCGACTCTATCATGGAGAAAGACGGTGACCGGCACCGCTTCCTCCGCGGTGTTATTGGCACCAGCCTTGGCTATGCTGGACTTGAGGTACTAGTTCCAAAGTTGTGCAATTCTGTTAAGTTGCATTTATCTTCAAACTGGCAGGGCCAAGAAAAGATTAGCCTTTATCGTTCAACAAAAGTCCTGACATTTAGCATAGTGTTTGAGTGCTTGTTGGGGATTAATGTGGAGCCAGGTATGCTAGATACCTTTGAAAGAGTGTTGGAAGGAGTATTTTCTCCAGCAATTATGTTTCCAGGTTCAAAATTTTGGAGAGCAAAAAAAGCCAGGTTGGAGATAGAAAAGATGTTGGTCAAAGTGGTAAGAGAGAAGAGAAAAGAAATGGAAGAAAGCTTGCAAAGAGAAGAAGATGGAATGCTGCTTTCTAAATTGGTATCTGGGATGATCCAAGGGGAGATCAGTGAAAAAGAGGTCATAGACAATGTGGTGCTGCTAGTTTTTGCAGCTCATGATACTACTTCTTTTGCTGTTGCTATGACATTCAAGATGTTGGCTCAGCATCCTGATTGCTATAGTAAACTTCTTCAAGGTAATAGAATTTTAGCTTTCTTGCAGTTCAAAATCACCATCTTTAAATTATCCAAAATTTTGGGAGTTGATAATTGAAAGTAATTTAATTGTATGCAGAACATGTTGATATAATGAGCAACAAAAGTGGGGGTGAGAATCTCACAGTTGAGGACATAAAGAAGATGAAGTATACCTGGCAAGTTGCTAGAGAAAGCATGAGACTGTTCCCTCCAATCTTTGGCTCATTCAGGAAGGCAATTACTGATATTGAATATGAAGGATTCACTATACCAAGAGGATGGAAGGTGAATACTATTTTCTTCCTGCCTTCTTACACAAACTGAATCCATGAATAACTCAACATTTGTCAATTTCTGAATTAAATCTTATAACTGGAATTATATGGGGTTTTCTGGCTCTTTTCAGGTGCTATGGACAACATATGGTACACATTATAATGAAAAGTATTTTAAGGATCCTATGAGTTTCGACCCAAGTAGGTTTGAGGAGGGAATACCCCAATATGTGTTTGTTCCCTTTGGAGGAGGGCCAAGAGTGTGTGCAGGGTACCAATTAGCCAAGTTAAATATCCTTATCTTTGTGCATTATGTTGTGACACAATATGAGTGGTTCTTACTGTATCCAGATGAGCCAGTCACAATGGATCCCCTGCCCTTCCCTTCTCTTGGAATGCCCATCAGAATTTCTCCCAAGTTTACATGAGACAAGCTCAAAACAAATTTGTTTTAGGGTTTAGTGTGTGTCAGTTAAACCGGTCATTTTAGTGACTTACACAAAGTCATACTTTGCGTAAATATGAAAAGTTTTTTTTTTTTTTTCACTTTACACGTTAGCGATATGATGTGATTGGGAGAGAAAAAAAAAGCAACTATTTTTATAAAGTATGACATACTTTGTGTAAATTACCTAAAAGAACACAAGTTCGTGTCATTTAAAAAAAAAATACTTCTTTTTTCTTTTGTTTTATCACATAAAAGATTTTACTTTTGCACGCATTACCAATAAAATAATAATTAATTTTATTCTGTTTTCTATCCCATTCTGTGCTAGCAAATGTTACTGCTTATTTGGACATGGATCATAAGTTTTCCATTCGGTTTCTAAGTAACATATACCAATTTTTGGCTCCGCTGGAAAAAATGTTCTAGCAAAAAATATAGAGAAAAAGAATGTTATGGGAAACATATCCATTGAAATCACAAAAATAGAAAAAGACAGGGAAATATAAGAATCATGTTGCAGGAATGACACTGTTCATTCCTGTAACAAGGATACGGCGTTATATCCTAAGGATACGGCGTCGTATCCTGACTTTGGTCTGACTTTTTTTTTTTAAGTGTGGGACCCACACTTGATTTGTGTGTGTAGGAAAGTGCTATTGTCATGTCAAATGACAAAAAGGGAACCCAAAAAGATATTGGTGTTACCATTTCCGAGAAAATAACTCAATTAAATGGCTGACAAAAAATTGTGGCAAGTCGTAACTGATAAGGAACTTGATTTCAAATTCATGATTTGTTACGCTTATGGAATTTATAAAATTCTGAATCTTTGGAACCAAACGAACCATGTAAAGTTTAAAGAGGAATAAAGATAGGAACTAAAACTAAAGTGGGCAAGATCGAATATTAATTACTATTAGATATACATCGTTTCGAAAATAGACAAATCTCACATGGTCTTTCACATATAGTGTGAACATACCTAACATAAACACAGTTGCTTGAAAGGTCACCATTTAAACAACTAAGATGAATTTGTATTTACTGAATAATAATTTAAAAATGAAGTCTCTGGCTTCCTCAACTGTTGCCACAATTAAATATTAAGTATTAAAACACTACTTAATTTTATATCAGCAATGTACTTTAAATACTAAGGCTTTGTTTTTATTTCATTGATTTGGCTGGCTGCGTTAATATCTGTCTACGTGTACCAAATTAACCTCCATTATTTTATCTTTTATTTTTGGTAATCAACCTCCATTATTTATATCAGCAAGTGGCGGAGGGAGTATGAATGAAAAAAGATAACATATACAAAAAATAAAGTCATGTACAGTGATGAGTGAAAATCTGTGTCCGTGAGAGCATATAAGAGCAATGTCCGTGAAAATAATAAGTGTTTGCGTTTGGTTGAGGAGAAATTTTATGAATAACAGGGAAATGATATTTATAGAAAAATGGTAGGAAATGGTAGGAAAGTGAGTTTGGTAAGAAAATATAAAAAAAAGTTATTTGGTTGAAAAAAATTTAACCGGAAAAATTAAGTAACTTTTATAATTTGTAAGTAAAATATAGATGGGAAACAAAGACACCAACCAACAAAATCCAAGATAGCCATAAAAATGGGGGAATACCACATCTAAAGTGAGAATATTTGTCCATCAATTTTGATCCAAATAGTCATGCAAATGAGATACTTAGCAAACTGATTTAGGTAGGCAAATTTGGAAGTTGGTCAACCAAACATGGACACCTTACAATCTCACTTCTAATTTGCGTATCTATCTCACCACAATCCTCCAACCAAACACATTCTTAGTAATGTCTATAAGCACAAAACGCGTAGCCCTTGCATACGTGTATAGACGCGCATTTTATGCATAAATATTTTATGTGCGTTTTCTTACATTAATTTGATAATATATTTGAACAAAAAATTAAACAAATAGAATTTTTTGAAAAATGCATTAGTACAGTAAAAAATCCCTAAAAAAGAAAAAAAGAGAAACAGATGCTTGATAAAGTCAAAGTATGATAGAAATAGAATAAATATTTGAGGCTGATCATTATTCTTTCTATTGGCACATTGCAATGGCCGGCCATCAGTGACATCGCACAGGTTAAGTTTATGGACATAAGGTGATATCCTTTTTCCCGCATAGCTCACGTGTACGATGATGAGGTAGCTTCTTAATGCAAATGTAAGGATTTGACTAATAATTTTTAGTTCATCTTTATATCTTGTTATTAAGGAATATTCTCTCAGTTATATAAATCTCTTTTCTAGCATTGAAGAGTTATCTGAAATCACACACTTTTATTGGAATTTAGAACCAACACAGTCTATATATCCAATTTGCAACCATCTCAGTGACTGCACTTACAATGACTTTCCAAGAGCTCTGATGTATATCACTACCCCTTAAGCACCCTATTATTGAGAATCCACAGTTCTTGAGAGCAGTGGCAGACCTAGAAATTTTTATTCATGTCCGCATATTTAATGGTCCTCGAATTTTTTTTTTTAAAAAAAAATTATATATATTAAAAAATAAAATAATATAAACAAGAAAATTTCAACTTAACAAAAGAATATATAAAGAGATAGATTTTTTTATATTTAAATTGAAATATAATCACTCACTCGGCATCAAGTGGCTGCTTCTAATATTTGTGTGTCATGGACAATATTGTTAAGATCGATAAGGGATAAAAAAATCATAAATCATAATATCGACATAGATTATAAAATCATACATGTGCATATAAAATTACATGAACATATAAAATTATATTTAATATATATAATAACAATTAATTCAATCAATCCAAATTATACAATAACAAATAATCCAAATTAATTCAAATATATTCAATAACCATTAAATCAAATCATCATTTAACTAAAAATATCAAATTATAAAGAAGAAATTAATTATTATTATTATTAATTATACAAATAAACTACTCTGCTAATTCAAATAAAAGAAAAATAATGAGATTGAAGTCAAAAATTTGTATTGGAATATGTAAAAAAAAAATAAAAAAAAAATAAAAGATGTTAGATAAGAATTGAGACGTGTAGGTGTCCGTGACCTTGTATTTGATCTTCCTCTCTCTCAACTTATCCTATGAGTTCGGAGAAGCAAACCGTGTAGCCGGACCAGTTGGCATCGATGGCACATAGACTTGGTTGGGGTATACAAATTTTTGAAAGGCTGTCGGAGGAATGCTCGCAACTTCTAGTCGACGATGTGGTGGGATAGTTGAAAATCTGATTTTTTTTTTGTTTGAATTGCTGAAAATCTTTTTCCTTGTTGTTAATCTAATTTTTTTTGTTTGAATCGCTAAAAAGGTGGAATCTTTACATTTTGAAATGTCGATCCCAATTTGTTTGAGAAGAAAACGATCCCAGTTTCTTCTTTCTCTCACTCAGTATCATCGCCATCTTTATCTTTGTATGCGTGTTTTGTTTGCAGTAATAACTAAGATTGATTGGGTGTAATTTTTTTTTTTCAAAAGTTTGTGTCCACACTTGCGCATAAGTAGGTCCGCCACGGTTTGAGAGAATACAAACCTAACTCTTATTTCACTACAGCTTATAACAAAATCCAAAAAATTAAGTAATTTAAAAAAAATAATACTCAAATTTAATATAAGGATTGAATTTTGACGTTATTATACAAGACGAGATGTTGACCTTTCAAGATATGGCTCATCTTTAGTTAACAGATGCTTTAGTTACACTATTAGAAAAGTTCAAATTTTCTACAAAAATTTCGACGAAAAATGTATTCTGTCGACAATTTTTGACAGAAATTTTATTCTGTGGAAAATTTTCGATGAAAAACATATTTCGTCGCAGATTTTCGACGGAAAAGAAATTTCGTCGAAAATAATTTCAAAAAAATAAATTTAAAAGAAATTACATTTATGAATTTTTCGACAAAAATCACATTCCGTCGAAGATTTTCGACGGAAAAGGAATTCCGTCGAAAATAACTACAAAAAAATAAATCTAAAAGAAATTATATTTATGAATTTTTCGACAGAAATCACATTCCGTCGAAGATTTTCGACGGGAAAAGAATGTTGGGTATGGCTCATACTTCACATGATGATGTTGGCCCTAATTGTCGGGCCCATGAATAGCTGCTGTTAGGGTTTCTTGTAATCCTATTTATATTTGCCTTGTAAACCGAGAGACTTGTAACGAGTGGCGGTGAAGTGAATATAGTACAGACAAGCTGGACGTAGCCTATATTGGGTGAACCAGGGTAAATCATCGTGTCAATCTCTCTACTCTTATCTCTTTTTCTGTTTTCTCGATTCTGTGTGATTGTCGATTTCCAACAAAGAATTCCATCGAAAACAATTAAAGTAAATAAATCAAAAACAAAATATATTTATGAATTTTTCGACGGAAATCACATTCCGTCGAAGATTTTCGACGAAAAAGGAATTCCGTCAAAAACTGTTACAAAATAAATAAATCAAAAAAAATTATATTTATGAATTTTTCGGCGGAAATCACATTCCGTCGAAGATTTTCGACAAAAAAGGAATTCCGTCGAAAACTGTTACAAAATAAATCAAAAACAAATTATATTTATGAATTTTTCGACGGAAATCACATTCCATCGAAGATTTTCGACGAAAAAGCAATTCTGTCGGAAACCATTACAAAATAAATAAATCAAAAATAAATTATATTTATGAATTTTTCGACGGAATAAAGAAGAAGATAGTCAGAGACGTAGAAAAAAGCCTGGGGGAGTTGATGGGGTTGGATCATAACTTCCACTGCCTGGGGGAGTTGATGGGGTTGGATTTTAACTTCCACCACCTCCATGTGATGGAGTTGGGTTGTAACTTCCACCACCACCACCATGTGATGGGGTTCCATGAGAGGGTGTTGTGCTTCCATAGCCACCTCCATGGGATGGACTTGGATTGTAACTTCCGCCACCTCCATGT